GCAGTGCCTGGTCCTGCGGAGGGGAACACGCTGCCCCTGTGAGCCCAACTCTCTGGTGAGCGAGTGGGTTTGATAGAAAAGACGGTGAACCCTGAGAGATCAGCTTCAGGGAAGCAAGCGAGGTTGGCCCTCACGCCTGGGGTCCAAGCACTCCATGAGGCTGAGGCAGCCTCATGGAGGCTGGGACTTCTGCGTCTGCCGGGTCCCCCTCCCCGTACTCCCCCCCATACGTCGGAAGGTCTCTGAGGACCCATGCAACAGATCTGCAGCCGCACAGTCTGGGTCCTAGTCCAGCCTTCCCTGCACTATGGGGGTATTTAGTGATGCGCAGCCGCACCCTGCTCCCCCACAGCGAAGGTCCCCTGCAGGGTCCCCTGCCCTCCGACTTCTCCCTGGCCGGGCGGACAGCATGGTCAGTATCAGGAGAGAGGGCCTGGGGGGCAGCAGCTGGCATCCTTCGGCACCCGGCCGACCTTCCTCCTGCCTGCACTGGCCCGTCCTCCTGGCCTTCAGAGTTCAGCCCTCCTCTCTGTCTCCGTGATTGCTGCTGTCAAAGGAAAAGCAGGGTGGTCATTCCGGTCTCCCCCTCTGCTAAGAATCTGCCCAGTGGACAGCTCCCACCTCCTAACTGTCGAGGAACCTGTGCCTTGATTGCCCTGGCCACTCATTCAGCCAGAGCCACCTTTCCCACAACTGTCTTAGCTTAGAGCCGGTTGCTCATTGGGTTTCTGTTTTCCACGTCTTTGTTCTTGTTCTTCTCGAGTCCGTTCCCAACTCTAGCTCAGTCTGTCTGTTAAAAGCGGCATCCTGCTCCCCTGTCTGAAACTACAAGGGCTTCCGGTCACATGCTGGGGAAACCTGAGGACTCTTTAGCCCGCCTGCACTGCTCTTCTACACGGATGGCCTCTTACTTGCTTGGCTGAATCTCCTGTGTCCCTTCCTGGGGCCTGCAGCACCCTGCACACACTGCCACCACTGCTCCCACTGTTTACAGAGAGGCTGCTCCTGACCACAGGCTCTTGGAGGGCAGGACAGTGCTGCAGCCACATCCCCTGCTCTAGCCCAGCAACCAACTGACACAAGGAAAACTGGGACCCCCTGCCCGCCCTGCCACTTGGTCAGGAAGCGGTGACGAGGGCCACACTCAGCTATGTGACCGTGTGCTGATGCCCCCGGGGAGGTGTGTGTCCCCAGTGGGAGCAAAACACGTGAGTGCTGAGTACCCCTGAAAGCAAGAAAAATGCCGTCCTCTTTTGACAACCAGCCTGGCAGTGCTCCTGGAGCAGTGGGGCCACTCACGAGGATTCTGCCAAGAAAAAGCTCACTGCCATCGAGCCCCTTCCAGATCAGAGGATGAGCAGCGCCCATGCTCCGCCGATGGGGTTTGGGTATAACTGGGCTGTGTCACTGCCTGTAGGTGAAAATGTCTCCATTCTTGAGGGAGGAAAAACTGAGACCAAAAGATATGAAAAGCTGTCCCAGGCCAGACAGGGAGCCAGCAACAAAACCTGTCTGTCACTGTGGTTCCTGTCTCCCCGGGGCGGTAAACCCCCAAAGCTGACAGTGCCGACAGGGTATGAGCTTTAGGGTAGTTTGCGGTGTGGGGACCACAAAGCCTGTCTGTCTAGGGCATCCAACCCCATTGGTCCCTGCGCCACGGTGCAAGGAGGTTTCCTGAAGGTCTTAGGGTCCTCAGTGTATGGATGAGGAATGGCCTCCACCTCCGCCCTTCTCTGCAAACACCTATCTCTCCAGACTGTGCTAGTTCGTCTTCTGTTGCTATGCTGAAACACCTGGCACTGGGGAATTTTGAAAGGAAAGAGGTTTATTTTGTCTCACTGACTAGAAGAACAAGAGAGAGAGGGACAAAGGAGCAGACCTGCTTTTAGCAAGTGCTCTCCAGGAGTTAACCTGTTTCCATGAATACTAGCCAGGTCAGAGAAGGGAAACACTGCTTAAGAGAAATTGTTCTTTTTAAAATTTTGTTCTCTTGAAACTGCCTAGCTCTGTAACTGCTTCATGGCTTTGTAATTACTTTCCTGACCCCTGTAACCATGAAAGCATAACCAAACATGCGGGATGTCTGATTGTACCACTGTATCAAGCTTCATGAACTGATGATCATTAATCTACCCTTGTAACCAATGCTCTCAAGTGCTAGCTAATCAGAAGGACTTCCAGGCTGTTCTGTCTCGCCTTTGTACCTCTTCGTACCTCCAGTTTGTGCAGCGTATAAAAGCCCTAGACCACCAGAGATCAGGGCCTGATATTCTGGGAGGTAGGGAACCACACTGACAGACAGGCTGTGTTGCTGGCTGCCTGTCTAGCCTGGGACAACTTTTCATTTCTTTGGATCTCAGTTTTCCCTCCTGATCAGTGCCCGTCCAAATAAAGTAATTTGCCTCCGAATCCTGGGTGTTGTTTCGGTGTTTCTGCTTGAGGTTCAGTCATACAACATTTGTCCGTCTGAAAGGTTCCACCTCCCGGTGCTGCTACACCAGCATGCGTTTTGGTGGCAATCCACAGCCTGCCATGGCGCAGACTCAGGGCAGTTCTCTCTCCTGCCTGGGCTGCAGCTCCCTCCACGCTGAGCAGCTGACTCTGAGCTCTGACAAAACTGTATTGACAAGACTGGGGGTTGAACCTATGACCTTTGCACTGAGCTACTACCCAACCCTTTATTTTCTTATTTTGAAACAAGGTTGCAAAGTTGCCCAGACTGGGCTTGAACTTGTGATCCTGCTGCTTCGGCCTCTTAGGGTGCTGCTGAGATGGCAGGTGTGCTGCCATGCTTGGCTTTTGGGTCTCTTGTAAAAATGATGCCCACTGCCTTCTTCTTTAGGGTAGAGGCATTTATTTGTTCTATTTCCCCGTTCCTTTGCCATCTCTGTCCAGCCGAGGGCCAAGTGCAGAGCCAAGTACTTAACCGGTGCCTTCAGTCCTCCAGAAAAGCACGTTGCCTGTGGCCCTATTCCTGCGGTGAGCAGACCAGAGATACTTCTCCACGAGCCTGGAGGAAGTCTTGACCTCCGTGTCAGCCCCCAGGAGCAGGGCCACAAATGTGAAGGCCACCCTAGAGATGGCTCAGATCCAGAGTATCCTGAGCCTGTGGCAGACAGTGCTGTCTTTCAGCCCCTGGGCAACTTCCTGTGTCCTCCAAGTGCTAAACAAAAAGCACCCTTCAGGCAGTGTTGCCTGTGGCCCAGGGCAAGCTGCTTCTAGGAGGGGAAGCTGTGGGGGGGAGGTGGGGGCGGGGGCAGGGGAGCCTAGCTGGGCCCGCCTCACGGGCACTCCCCGAGTGCGAAGTGCCCTTGGGGCTTGGAGGCGGGCGGGCCTGAGAGCAGGTAGGGGAAGAGCTGGTTTGAGTGGAGCACCTGGACTGCCATAGGTGTGGCTCCTTCTTGTCCCTTTTCTCACTTGTAGACTTCTCTCTTGAGTTTCAGAAGCCGCCACAGAAGCACTGTGCACACTCACCCACACACTCATATACACACACTCACACTCACACACACTTATCCACATTCACACACATTTCAAGGCCACTTGTTTGTGACAGGGCTCTGCCTTTGGAAACACAAAAAGGTGGAAGCCCTCAGGAAAGGGTGTGCTGGAGTTTGGTGAGTGTGGAGCAACAGTTACCCAAAGACTCCCTTACAGCACGTCCTGCCTTTGAGGTTCCCATGTGGGTGAGTCCCAAGGCGCTCCGCGAGTCCTCCTGAACCATCCCCGGCCAGGCTTGTGCAGTGCATAGCCTGGGCTGCAGGTCAAGGCCAACAGTATCTCTCCCTTTGCAGTGCGCAGAATCAAGGCGGCTGACGAGGAGAGGAGCTTGCGAGCCCAGCATGCCCGGGATGAGTACCTGCGCCACTCGCTATGCGCCATCCAGAAGGGCACTGTCGCTGGGCTCAGCTCCATGTTCCAGGAGCTCGGCCAGAACAACGAGCAGGAGGCGAGGCTCTACCATCACCTTCCAGGCCCTGGCCCGCCTCTGCCCCGAGCTGTGCCCATTGGGTGAGTCAGAGGCCCTGAAAGACCCTTGAATTGGGGAGGGCAGAGCCGAGCTCCAGCCCTGACTTGCTGGGCATCTCCCCTCTGTAGCCTCAGTGTCCCAGGATGTCTGATGGGGTGATGGGAGGAATGGCATGGGCTTTGCAGTTTTCATATTTGTGTTTTTAAACTCAAAGGATGTACAGTATTTTACTATTTTAATGTTTATATTTTCCTCTTCCATCTTAGCTCTTGTATTAGTGTATAATAATTGAACACAATGCTGGAATTCACTCTAACACTTTCACACAAGCATAGAGCTTGCAGATTTGGACCTTTTTAACAGCTTTGGAAATCTGTGCATCTTAATATCTTTGAAGTCCAGGATTCCCTTAGTAATCTGAGGAATGCTGTATGTCCTCTTCCCCTCGAAAGGCGCATATACAAATACAACAAACTGCTAGCAGATCCTTTACACTTCTAAAGGTCCCTGAGCCCCAGGTTAAGAACATGCAATAAAGGACCTCGAGTGGATAAATAGGACCCAGTATTTCAGAATAGGGACTCGTGACCTCTTCTAGCTATGGGTGGTGCTGGTCTGTCAGGGGGCAAATGCAGGTCTGCAGATCAGTGTGGGTGAACCTGGATGGGGGCCTTTAACATAATTTGTGTCCCCAGGGGTTTGTTTGGCAAAAACACTTAAGTGACAGCCCATGAGTGCCAGGCCCAATGGTCAAGATACCACTGGAAACCTTCAGGTTCACTGCCCCCTTGAAGGCCTCCCTAGAAATGGCCCCTCTGCTCCCAGCTCTGTCACCATTGCTAAGCAACGGCAGCGCCCAGGGAAAGCCAGGGACTATCTGGAGAGTCGGTTCATGGTTCACGGTTCACCCTGGGAAACAGAGGTCTCAGATTGTGCTTTAATTAAGGATTGAGGTTGCTCCTAATCTTCACCCCGTCCCCTGTGTACAGGGAGTGCTGACCCGTGCTGACCGTGTCTTCTTCCCTTCTTCCATCCTTCTCTCTTCTGTCCCTTCCTCCCTTGGCATGTGTGATTCTCCAGCCAGAAAGCCGGGGAAGGTGCATGCACCAGAACACTCTCCTCCAGTCCCTCTTCCCCAGTGATTGTGGCTCCGTTGCTTATGTGTCTTCCCACTTTCTTTCCAAAGTTGCTGACATGCACAGTCTTGTCCCCGCCCTCTTTTGCCACAGCTGCCTGGTGGTCTATGGCAGGGATGTACTGTGAATTATTTATTTACATCCCGCTATTTATTTATGTTCTACTAGTGGACACTGGCGCTGTCACACAACTTTTGCTGCCACCAACAGTGCCCTGAGTGAATCATCTTGTAGAAATTCATCATACCCACGTGCAGCCATTATCTGCGAGAAACTCCCCCAGCTGGGCTCGCTACTTGCCCTGCACAGGGTTGGTACCAGTTCACACCCCTGTCTTTGGCTCAAAGTGTGTTGTTAAATTCTGGTTCTGGGCCAGGAATTTAAACTTGTGTTTCTATTTATGAGACTAAGTATTTATGTATGTTTAACGGTCATTGGGACTTCTTTGCTTATTTCCCTATCTGTTTTTACATGATGTGAGTAGTTTTCTCCTTAAGCAGTTCTAGGACTGCTTTACATATAAGGGAAAAGGATTTTTTGTTTGTGGCAAACAATTTTTCTCCATTTGTTGTTTATATTTTGACCTTTGTGGTGGAATTTTCCAGCATGTGGAAATTCTTGAGTTTTTATGGTGTTATTATTTAAGAATTGTTTTCTGATTTGGAGGGCAGAGGTGGTTATGTGTCAGCCTTGGAGTTATGGGCACAGGATGCCTGGCCCCCAGAGCTTCAAGGAGAAGGGCTTTGCTTGGGCCCCGTTTGGGGCTTTCAGTGCTGGTTGTCTGGCTCCGAGGCAGACACGGTGCAGTTGACGGCCGGGACGAAGCTGCTCACCTCGTGGCACCAGGACACGGAACAGGATAAGGAAGGGTGAGCAGGGACAGAGCACGTCCTCCGGGATGTCCCTGGGGCCGACGTCTCCCAGCTGGGTCCCTCCTAAGAGCAGTGGATAACCGACCTTCTCCACACAGGGACCACGGAGGAGCACAGCATTCCCTTCACCAGTCATCCTCCAAACCCACAGGACTTTGGGGACATTTTAGATCTAAACTGCAGTGGGCACAGTGAGAAAAGCCCTCCTCCCTTCTGTGCTTCTGAAAAGGAATTATAATTTGTCTTTCGGTCCACGTGGTGGAGCTGCAGGGACTGTGGTATGGCCTGGCTGTGTGTAGTCAGGAGTGAGGGGTGGCCTCAGCTCACAGCCTGGAGAGGCCATGGCCCGGCAGGTGGAGCAGCAGATGCCAGCGCCTCCCTCCTCTGCCACCGCTGAGGCCCCTGTGGCTCCCTGCCCATGTGCATGGTGCCAGCGCTGCCTAGGGTGGACACACACTGCTGAAGGGTGCGGGAGCCAGGCTTCTGGCCGGGAACACCCATCCCAGTGCTTATGTTCTGAGGGATCACAGTTTCTGCTCGGAGTCATGTTCCCTTCAGTGCTTGGAGCAGAGCCCCGAACGAAGGGGTTTTCTTTGTTTATAGCCTGCTCTTGCCTTCTAAGGAGGTACAGTCCTGGAAGTGGGAAAGACAAGGATCTTTCCCACAGTGCAGTTGGTTTTGGGAGATGCAGATGTGGGAGAAGAGGCCAGTGGAGCAGAGATGCTGCTCAGCAGGGAGAGGGGGTTCCGGGCCTCAAGAGGGAGAGGGAGGCTTCCAAGGGAGGATGGAGGAATGAGAGGGTCCAGCTGCAGGGTCACCATGGGCAGGTAAAGCCAAGCCTGGAGCAGGGCAGGGAGGCCAGGTTAGAAGTTCACACTCCCGGTGGGTGCTCTGTGGTCCGGATGTGGTCTGATTGTGTCTGTGGTCATGTGGTTTATGTGTGGGGAGCTTGGTTCCTAGTGTGCCTGTGCATAAGCAGTGCCCTCTGGAGGTGCTCACCCCATGGGCAGGCATGCCAGGGTGTGGGTTAAGGAAGCTCATGTGCAGAGTTGGGCGCTTTCCCAGGAGAGCCAGTTCTTTGGAAGGCCCAAGCCTGACCACAGTGTATTTGCTGCTTTGTTCTGTGACCTCTTCCCCTTGCACGCTTCTGCAGCGATGTTTTTGACAGATCCTGCACTTTCCATCTCCCAAACCACAAGCTAAGAAACCTCTCTTCTTCCTATGCAGCCTTCTGTGGGTGTTTCCTTACGGTAACAGAAAACTGACCAACACTGTGGCTGTGAGCTGTGTGCTCTGCCTTTTCTTCATCACCTTTCTTGAAATCTGTAGCACTCAGGCTTGTGTGTGTACATGTGTACATGTGTGTGTGTGTGTTGTGCTTACACAGGTGTGTGTAAGTGGACCCATTGTGAGGAGCTACTAAACTCTTCAACGTGTCAAAGTGTCTCTACAGAGCAAATATAGTTTCTTTTGTAAAAAATAGTAGCAACAGGGGTGACTCCCAAGTGCTAATCCTGTTCCTTATAGCAAAGACAACATAGGAACTTCCCAGATTCCTGTCCCTCTTTAGAGGCAGTGAAGACAGCAGTTTCTCTCCAGTCAGCCCCAGTCTTCTTTGGAGACTGCCTTCCTGCACTGTGATTTGAGGCTGTGTCCTCGCTGCCTTGCAGTTCAACACTTGCTGGGTGCCTGTGCTGCCCTGTGCTCAGACTTGCATGCACCATGGTGCTGCATGGCTTGGTCTCTGCATATCCAAGAACCTTGGTGCAGACAGGGAGGTGTGGAAACCTTGGCTCCTTGGGAGACAACAGTAAACAGGGCCAGTCTGACCCTCTGAGACCTCTCACCTGCTTCTGCTCATCACCCTAGCGGGCCTCGGTCCCTCACTGTGCCCTGGCCGGGTCACCCCGTGGGCAGTTGTGCTTCCTTCCCCGCTTTCTTCAGCTCTTGTCTCTTTACCTTGTGGTTTCTCTTTCTGTTCACTGTCCTGATACTGCCTTGCACAAGCATGGCTGGCTAGAAAGTCATGGGTTCCCACAGAGGACTGGGCCGGGGCCTCAAACCAGGGGAGGTCCCAGGGGTAGGGACCCCCACAGTGGATTCGCCACTGTCCCCTTGGCCCTGTCTTCGTCCATGCTGATCTTCTTGCCTGGTCATCCCCCAACCCTCCATCATCTTGGAGAAGAAATGTATCTTCTCCTGCTGCAGCCCTCTCCTCCTGCCTGCTTTCCACTCCCACCTGTGTAGTTTTCTTTGAAGCAAGCCTTGTTTTCATTGTGGAAAAATACTTGTAGCTGCTACATTATAATTGCAAACTGCCTGCAAGTACCCAGACTCACTGAATCCCTTGCATAGGCCTGAATTGGGATATCCTGCCTGCTCATTCTCATGGGCACCCGCCTCTCTCCCTCCTCCCTCCCTCCTCTCTCCTTCTATCCCTCTTCTCTCCCTCTCCTCTCCCTCCTGTCTCCCTCCTCTCCTCCCTCTCCTCTCCCTCCTCTCTCCCTCCTCTCTCCTTCTATCCCTCTTCTCTCCCTCTCCTCTCCCTCCTCTCCCTCTCCTCCCCTCTTCTCTCCCTCCTCTTTCTT